TGTCTCATTTTATGTGATTTCGAGCTGCACTAAATCAACCCAAACTCGGCTCAAAATCAGATTGTTAACAACCCTATTTATATACAAATCATTCAATTCTTATTTTTTACATATATTTAAAATTTAATTTACATAGGCATATGATTTTATTTATGCATAAAAAATATATTCGACTTTTTAAATATATTTTTAAAAATTATTTTTTTTCTTTTCCATCTCTAATAAACTTCTTCTACCCCAAAAAAAAAAAAAACCCTAAACAGAGATTCACATCAATGTGCTCTAATAACTGGCTTCAATACATCTATCATTATTCAACAACTCGAACGAAACCTGATTAAAAGCATTGACAATGGCGCCATGATTGTCCTTCGCGTTAAGCGACAAATCGCCAGCCAACAAATCCTGTAAATCTTCAGATCGTCGAGTCCCATTCTCGCTTATCATCTTCTTCATCGAATCCCTAAAATCCTCCTCCCGATCGCACGACCACTTCGCTACCGCCAAGCGCCGGCATGTTCCCGTCTCCGGCTTCGTTGTCTCGTCTCTGTTTGGAAGAGCTTCGGCGGGTGGAAGGCTGAGAGAAAAAGAGGAGTAAGAGAGATGATCGGAGGCAGAGAATCTTGTGCAGAGAAGGCGGTCAAGGGTGCGCGGAGAGTAGGAAATGCAAGGAGAGATTGGGGCCGGAGAGGAACTCAGGGTAAAGTTTTCAGCCGGAGCGGGAGGGGATTGATTGATGATGATTGAACGAGGTGAGGTAGGCTCAGGGTTGATATGGCTCTGTTGGTGGAAATTTGATCTCGAGTGATAGCAAGAAGAAAGAAGATCTAACAGGACGAAGAAGCAGGAGCATGGAGACCTTTTCTTCTTCTCTGAGCTTGGCTCGACCTTCCTGCTTGCTTTTTCTTGCTTCATCTTGCTCCTCTCCATTGCTTCTGTGAAGAGGCATACTGTTAGAAGTCGGAGCCAGCGCTTTTCTATTCGCCGGAATTTACATACATACCACCCAATTCTTATGTATTTACATATCCAAAGCTAAAATTTATTTTGTTGCATCTATACCATCCAAATAAGCCAATTCCTACATATCATGATATCACATAAAAACAATCACAATTTTATTTCATACAAAATTATATATATAAGAATTGAGTGGTATTTTTGTAAATTTTTATTTGCTTTTTTTTTCCAGTGGGATTAAATGTTAAAAATTAAAAAAAAAATCATTTTTGTTTTTAATATTAAGGAAATAAAGATCAAAATTCAGATAATAAATATGTAAATAAATAAAAATATGCGTTATGTATATAGTAATTTTTTTTAATTAATTATGATGTTTTTAAAATTAGCCTTTTTTAAAATGCTGATATTTAGGGTTTTGCTTTCCTTTGTTGGAGCTTTAAGTTAGGAAGGCATTCAATTATATATATATAGAAGAGTAAACTCTGAGCGTTATATAAGCGAAATTTATGGAGTAGAGCATGGAATGTTACCTTCAGCACCCATCAAACTTTAGCTTTTCCTTCAAGGAAAAATTAATGGCCAGTGATAGTTGGAATTGCCATCATCATTGCATTACTCTATCAAATTTTATATTAAATTTATTCTACTTTAAAAAAAAAATTTTTTGGGTTAAGTTTTGAGGCTACCTAAAGATTTTGTCCTCATTTTGTTAGGACTTCAAGATATGAGATTTTAGGTTTCTCATTGGTGTAAGCCCTTATAGTTAATTACATTTATCAATAACAGGAGAGCACTTTTGATTAGGGATGCTCATTAAACGCTAAGTAGTCTAACTTAGAAAATAGTAGCAACATATTTAAAATTTTAAAATATATGATTATCAGTTTTAGCTTAAAGTGGATGGTGGAGGCGGATCAAGATCATAGATCTTGTCATTCATGATTATTGTGATTCCTTGTTTATTTAGTGAGAGGAGAGAGCCGACCTAGCCTTATAGAAGGATCCTTGTCAGCAGTCATGTACATAAATTCACATAATATTAGGAGAGAGGGAGCTGCGACATGCTAGAGAGGAATAATAAGTCATTTATTATTATTTATCTTCTAATTATTCATTTTATTTGTCATTTTATTATATCAATAGTTTAAATTAATATTATTATTTTTATATATAACAAACAAGATAACTCGAATTCGTATATATAAGTTTGAGCTTGAGCTCAAACTCCACCAATTAATCAAGCCCAACAGATTGACATTCGTATATATAAGTTTGAGCTTGAGCTCAAACTCAACCAATTAATCAAGCCCAACAGATTGAGTTGGAGTTGGAATCCACTCATTTACATAACTAGGACGAGGGTTGACTGCTATTGTTTAGATCAATCCCATTTTTTAGTGAGGTGGCGAGCTCTGATTGGTGGGAGAGGAGGTGGGAGTATGGGAACAAAATGAAATAAAATGAGCGCTTGATGAATTGGGCCATGGGCTTAAGTGGGAAATACTTTTGGGTTGTTTTATTATTATTATTTTCATTATTTTTACAATTTTAAATGTCTCATTTTATGTGATAATCATTTGTGCATAGGAGGCCCGCAATATGACTATCCTCACCAGACAAAATTAATATTTTCATATGCATTTGTGCTATTCGTTTTGCCATCCAAGATTGTTTAGGTGAGTTCATCAATAGTAAAGATGATTTGAGTTCGACTTACATGTGTCATACCGACAAATTGTCATTTTTATTATAGAATGTTTATTCTAAGTTAATTTTTGTATTCTAGATGTACTTGTACAGTCTGTTTTATGAACACATCATTTGAACGCTTCGATGATGATCAAATGGCTTTGGGTTGAATCTCACAATGTTGCATTTGAATTTTGTTAGTCTCATCATGTTCAGTCGACCCATCTCACATAATAGATATATAAGACAACATACTCTAATTTATTTTTCATCAAATCAAACAACCTACCAGTATTAAAAATTTTCATACGAAGGCTAAAAAAAGAGCTCGTCATCCACAAATAGATAATTTAAGCTTGAGATCAAACATGTTGAACATAAAAAAACTTTTGTTCGCAATATTCCTCAAACTTTGCTATTTGCAAAACAAAAGCCCACTTATTTCTTTTTTCAAATTGTCACTCAATATCAAAATTCACAGGAAAGCTCTTACACATATATCTCAATTTGAAATTGGAGAAGAAGAAGAAGAAGTTACGTAGGAAATAGAGAGAGTGCATAAGAAGAAATAGAAAGTGGATAAATAGAGTAGTTCTTGATTTATTCCTTATGTCTTTAGTACAAAGAAGTAATATGTACTTATAGACAACGAAACATACAGGAAATGTAAAAGACTCGAATAAAAAGAATAGTATACCCCATGAATAGAACACTTATTCAGCTCCTTTATCATGCCTCCACAAACTAATAATATTTGTAGTTAATATTGTTAGTTTGTGTTGAAGCTTGAAACCACGGAGTGGGGAGGGCTTTAGTGAATATATATGCTGTTTGTTATTCTGAGGACATATATTGTAACTCTATCTTGTTAGACTTGATGTGATTCCTCATGAAATGATAGTCAATTTCATTATGCTCGGATCTCGCATGGAAGACTGAATTATGGGAATTTGTCATGGTAGACTTGACGTAAAAGATTGTTGTAGGTTTTTAACATCGTTTGTGAAAGTCTTGGAGAAGTCTTCGTAGCCAAATAACTTTTGTGGCAGCAAATGATATAGTTATATATTCAGCTTCAGTGGAAGATCTTGCCACAATTGGTTGTTTTTTCACATTCAATGACAATATATTAGGACCAATAAATGTGCAATGCCCTTTGATTGATCACATGTCTTTCACATCACTTGCCCAACTTGCATCGACATAAGTGTGAAGAACTATTGAACCAACTTTGAACAGAATGTAGCTACATTACTGAGTCTAACGTTCATTAAAGATATTGTAGGAGATGTTTATGAGCTTGGTAATGTAGCTGAAGAGGGTTGTGAAGGTGCTGAGAGAGTATATTTACCACAAGCTTAATTTCTGGTTGAGTTAAGGTGAGATATTGGAGAGACCTTACTAAATGTTTTTAAAGGTAATGATTGAGGAACTGTTTAGTATTCTCAGTTAATATTTTGGTAGTGAGAGTTTGTGGATTTCGTAATGATTTGCAAACTTTCATGTCAGCTCTATTTAGTATAGTCTTGAAATAACTTATATTGATTGAGATGATATCAATAAGAAGTATGAGAAATGTTGACGCCTAAAAAGGTAGTGACGAAATTCAAATATTTCATGGAGATGTTATGCTGAAGTTTCTTGTTGAAGTTGATGTATCAAGCTTGAATTATTCTCAATTAATAGTATATCATCGACCTAGAGTAGAAGATTGAGTCGGTGAGAATTTGTGGTGCTAGATGTAAAGAGACGTATCTACAATACTGACTTTAAATCCAAATTTGATGAGATGAGTGGTGAATGTGTGATTCCATTGTCTCTGGACCTGTTTGAGGCCATAAATAGATTGTTGTAGGAGATAAACATAGGAAGGACTGTCGACACTATTTTTGGTGTGGGGTTTGCCCGTAAGAAACTGTCGGTCATCGGAATTGAAATCCCCCCGTTGCCCGCTTCGGAAGGACATTTTAAAAATTTTTAATTTTGAAAAAGATGAAGTTAAACTGACCCCATAATTTTCATAGTTTAGATGAAAGAGCGTTTTACCTCAAATCCTGTATCTATCCCGAAGGATGACACAAGAATTGAGAGTGAGGCTCGATCAAATAAACTAGAGAAAGTTATGACATCCGTTTGGTCTGCAAAA